TTTTTTAGTGTTAAAACAGCAGATCCAGGAACTAGTTATGTTAAAGAGGATCGAGAAAAATACATGAAAACGGCGGATCAAAATCAAATTGAAATAGAATGAATTTCGAGAATTCGTTAGCAACAGATCACTCAGTAATAGGGGTGGACAAAATGATCAAGCCAAATCGAACGATTTGATTCTATTTTACAAAAAAAAAAAAAGGTTTTTAGTTCTTAGAACCAAGAACCATTTGGTTCTGGTTCCAATTCTAGAACAAAGAACTAGACCCCGATAATCAAATTCAATTATATTCTATATATATTTACAAATTAGTGAATCATACTAAAAAATGAATTTTTTTAGTGTTAAAATAGCGGATCGGGAAACTAGCTATGTTAAAGAGAATCGGAAAAAATACAATAAAACAACGAATCAAAATCAAATCGAAATAGATTGGAATTTTGGGAAAATTTTAGCTACGGATCCCTAAGAAATAGGGGTGGGCAAAATGATCAGACCAAATGAGAATCGAGCCAAATAGAACGATTCGATTCTACAAATGATAATAATAATGTTTTTAGTTCTTAGAACCAAGAACCATTTGGTTCTGGTTCCAATTCTAGAACCAGGAATCAGAGCAGATAATCAAATTCAATTTTATTCTATATATATTTACAAATTAGTGAATCACACTTAAAAAAATCCTATTTTTAGTGTTAAAACAGTGGATCAGGAAACTAGTTATGTTAAAGAGAATCGGGAAATAAAAGAAAACAACATATCAAAATCAAATTGAAAAGAGAATTGGGAAAATAATAGCGGATCAAAATCAAATCGAAATAGATTGGAATTTCGAGAAATTTTTAGCAACAGATCACTGAGAAATAGAGGTGAACAAAATGATGAGGCCAAATAAAAATGGAGCCAAATCAAACGATTTGATTGTGTTCTACATAGTAATAATAAGGTTAATTAGCACAAAACGTCCCTACCTTTGGGATGGATTTTAGAAACTATCCCTATCTTTCATTTCGTGCGTAGAACGTCCTTACCTTCAATGTTTCTGTGCTCCAGACGTCCTTTTCAATTCTTTTTGACAATTTTACCCCTCATTCAAGTAAA